CCGCCTGCCTACGTCTGTTCGACAGCCACCGCGGCTTCTGCCTCCATTTAAAAGCGTTTTCCTGTCTTATTGAGGTGCCACTCTGGCTGTGTTCCCTTTGTTACTTTAATGAGTGTCTCCTTAAATGAAGGGACTCTGTCTTAAGAGCAGGGAACTCCTTTCTACACGTTTCTCTGTTGCACAAACCATGTCCATTCGACAGCATTCTAAAGGAAGATGCGTGCTCCGAGGATGCTGAATTGTACAGACCTCAATTCAAGTTGCTCACTTGCTCCTGAATTATGACATTCAGTCGCAGAACATTTTCTGAAATCTGGGAAAGCGTAAACTTTTCATTTCCTGCAGTTAGTTCCAGTGGTATGCCTGCTTCATGGAACTCGCACGTCCTTGCCAGGCAGTAAAGAGGACTGAGTGAGCACTTACTATGTGTGAAACACTTCTGCGTGCAAACGTGTACCCTGAAAACGCCTGCTTTATCTTTTTAATAAGAAGGTAGTCATCTTTTTTTCCTCTTGTTTTCATCTTCATATTAAGTCAACTTTCTTAGAATATACGTCCCAAGAAAACAGAACTGTGTCTGTTCAGGGTCCATACTGCGCCTTACACAAAGCTGGGCAGATCCGATGGCTTCAGAGTGTAACGTTGCTTCAGAAGAGGCAGAACCATTCTAAGCAGAGGAACCTAACAGTCTTCTAAACTTATTTGTTAGGACACCATTAGGTGCCATCTATTCACAGGAAAAAACAAAACAACAAAAGCCCATCGTTAAAGACGTGCGAATTGTTCTCCAGTGGGGGAGGTTTGTGTATATAATTGCGCTCAGTTGTTTCTGTTTGCGGAGCTCCTGTCATTTCCCCGTGCCAGATTCTGAGTCAAAAGAAAAATATCGACCTGCGTAGGCAACAGCTGTTCTCAGCCCTTCAGGGTGGTAATTCTGAGGCTAGGGCAGTGCATATTCTTATCGCGAAATGCCTGACGGTAAAATCCTGCCTTCTCCACAGCGCGGGTGCGGGTACAGTGACCGTCCTTGCAAAGCCAGGTGTTAATCAGCAAGCCCGTTTCACGGATCTCGGAGGACAAAGTAACTTGTTATGACCGCATGCGTGTTCATGAACTCATCCCCAAAGTATCCCTATGGTCTGGCTCCGTATTACTGAACACGTTTCTGAACTTTGCTCCTTTTTTTTTTTTTTGTAAAAGAAAAGCAATACTCACGGTAGGCTTTGTATTTCAGTGAGTGGCAGTGATGCCGATCAGAGAGCCGACAACACTATTTATTGAACCGTGTTATGGCTGTATGTTCTACAGTTCTCTGCTCATCCCGGCCGTTCTTCTAATCTTTCTGTCATTTGGAAGAAGTGGGTTAATAAGAAGTCAAAACAAATAATATAAAAATATAATTTTTTAAACAACAATGATGAGGACTCATTTACCTGATTTGAAAACATGTTTAAAATGGACCATTATCAAAGCTGGATAATGTTTTGTTAAAGAAGAAAAGGATCCATTGATACGGAATAACGGAGGATCCAGAAGTGAAAAGCTCATTTGAGCGTGTCTAGGACAGCAGACATCACCGAATGACAGGGAAAAGTAGCCTTTGTCAGGCATTTATTTTGAACCAGTGCTCTGTGCACAAATGCAGAATGTGTAGCAATGGAAAGAGAAACAGGATGTAGGAAAAATAACACATACCACTGTATTGAGATTACTTAAATGGGTATAGATATATTAGATGAACATACTAATTCCCTTTGATGTGTGTGCAAGGGAGATGCATGCTTGAGGAAATCTTAAATCACTTTATAGGAAATGTGCTGCCTGTTAGTGTTAAAGTAAATTAAAATATTATAACATTTTTACGATAAATGTAGTATAATCAGATTCCCTTCCTCCCCTCCCCCCATGGAGAAATGGGAGGCTTGTCAATTGCATTGTTTCAGTTGTGGAGAGGAATCTGTCAATAGGTTTGAATCATAATGCTATTGTTATCGATGATGACGATGACAGTGATGATAATGGCATGTGCCTGCACTGTGCTAAGTGGTGGTTGCTTAGAGGAAAGCTTGCTACCTTGCCACGTGTATGTATATGTGAGCAGACACGCCACTGAGCGTGCCACACAAAGCCCCACTGTCCAGCCCACCGTTTTAGAATAATTGTTTGTCGTTTCCCCCAAAATCCAGGAAACCACAGGCTGTAATGTTGCGGTGGGGGAGAGCAACCAAAGGACTTGTATGCGTGTATATAAGCACAACCAAGGACACAGACACCAGGGGGGTGAGGGCCTGAGCGGCAGGGGGCGGGGGAGGGGGTAAGGGGAGGATAAGGACATATATGTAATACCTTAATCAATAAAGAAAATTAAAAAGGGGGGTTTCCCCCCCATATTTTCTTTTTCAGTCAGTTTTTCTAAATGTTTTCCCCCACACCTGAACGTCTTCTCCTGACAGGTGGATTCTTAATCATCTTTTGAAAATTTGTTCAAATCACATCATTCAGGGAGGCTTGGTCCCTGTGACTCTTAGACACACCGGGAGGCCGGCAGCTCCCTGGCGTCTCCGGAGCCTGACGCGTTGTTGAACACAGAGGCTGTGTCCTGACCGTTTTTACACACAGATTGGGACTGAATACGTGTGTGCGTGGAACCAGTGACTGGAAAAACTAAGGGAAATCCCAATATTAGTATTATCTTCTAGCTTTCATTAAATTCTGTTAAGCTGGATCTGGTCACATTGACTCGGTATAAACGTACTCAGCAATGATCAGAGTGTATAACTCCCAGCAATTCTACACAATGGGGTAAGCAGTCACCACTAGGCTGCTTCATTTTGCCACAGGGTTTTGTTGGGGTTTGTACTTGTCTCATTGCTCATTTGCTGCAAAATGAGGCTTTTACTGGGTCACTGTCAGATTTTTCTTAGTATTTTTTATAAAGATGTGTAAGGAGGTACATTTGCCAACACTTTTAGGTCAGGGTGCTATTTTTAAAAAAAAATATTTTTATTGATTTCAGAGAGGAAGGGAGAGGGAGAGAGAAAGAGAGGAACATCTATGATGAGAGAGACTCATTGATCGGCTGCCTCCTGCACGCCCCCCACTGAGGATCAAGCCAACAACCCAGGAATGTGCCCAGACCAGGAATTGCACTGTGACTATTAGTTGATGCTAAACTAAGGCATGCTGACTGGGCAAGGCCAGGGTGCTATTAGTGAACTCTTCTCTGCTATTTAGTATTCCTAAGAGAAAATATGCCTAAGGACCTATATTATTCTCAGGAAGTAAGGTTTTTTGTTTGTTTGTTTGTTGTTTTGTCTGTGTGTGTGTGTGTGTGTGTGTGTGTGTGTGTGTAAGCTTTTGGGATCCAGAGCTGAAAAATTTCCTCTTGTACAACTTATTCATCAGTATAAAAATGTTCATGCAAAATTAGTGCCTTAAGACACAGAATCCATTTAGATTAAAGACTATATATGAATGTATTAGAGAGACAGAGGTTCTTCTGAAAATGATAGAGCCCACACTCGACAAGACAGAATTTCTCACGTAGTTGTCTGGGTGTGGGGAAACGCAGGTCAGGTACGATGACCCTGTTCTGCATGGCTGTTTGGGGTTGGATGTGCTATCACCACGGTGTTTGGGATTCAGGGGCCTTCCCATTGCTTTGTGTTTAAAATTTCATGATTGTTAATTTCCTTTTCATTTTATTTCTTGATTATTATGGTGTGACTATCTCATCAGCAGTTGTGCTTGACAAGAAGTCATGGTTTACAGTATATTATAGGTTTGGCATGACAGAAGTCTTGACAATAAATATTTGCTTAATTAATGGAAAGTTGAGATATTTTGGGAAGGGTCATTAATCTACAACTATTTGCAAGATGCTTGTGATGTGAGATGCGGCGCTCATGGCACAGGGCCAAATTGGGAGCTCACCTGCCTGTGGAGGGAGGAACAAATAAGGTTTTTCCAAAGCCTTGAGGATGAAGAGTTCATTTTCATTGAAGCTGGGGAAGGAGAGCTTCCTTGAAGGAGGAGTAGGGTTTCAATAATCGGAAATGGAGGAGGAGGGGCATGAGGAGCAGGGCGTGTTGGGGGAAGTGGGAGTGGAAGGTGTCTGCTTGCTAACACTTCTCTTGTGATTTGTGACACCCCCTGTGTTTTAGGACAAATCTGGAGGAAGGATATTTTTGAGTAGGGGAGGAGGAGGAGGGGATGAATATCTATCCTTGTCTTTTTTTCCTCTGATAGGGTGACAAAGGAGAGTTTTATTTTGGATAATACTTTGGCAATACTTCATTGATTTGTTTGTTTACATCACTGAAGATGATTCTGTGACCTATGTGAATCTTCAACATCTAGTACACATGATTTATGTTTAGATGAGATTATCTTTGTATTTGAATTAAGGCACAATAATGACAATATTTGTAAACGTGTGACTTGTAAAGGGGGACCTATACGCTCGGTCTTGGCAAAGGGCCTGGTTCTAAGTGCTCCTGAAGCTGAAAGGTTGTGCCCTCCCATTTGACTGTCCCGTTCTGCTGATACATCTTTTAGAGAAAGTTTCAATTCCTGACGAGGAGCAGAGAGCTGACATGATTTTTCACTTAGGTGTGCAGAAAGAATTGGTTAGCTTTGTGCACAAAGTAGGCTGAAATCAAGCTTTAATTAGTCAGACTTTTGCATAATTCATCACGGTCACTTTGTAAGTCCAGCTGAATATACTCTTGATTTTTATCATGATGTTTTCATTTTAAAGGACTCACTGTCTTTCAGTTAGTGTCTTGATGGACAAATACTCAGGTCTTCCAAGTACAGCCATAACAATGCACCCAGTCTCATTTTAAAGAAAAATGCATTGTTACATAAGGACCCGTAAAGAAGTGAATCAATCAATCTATAAAAAAGTTCTTATTAAATATCATTCTTGTTATTGATATAATCAGCTTTAAAGACAGGAAAATAAACTAAGGACTTTTTCTGTCTTTTTGGATCCATAGGCTGTCCATCTGGCCCAGGCAAGCTTCCAGATTCAGGCCTTTGGCTCCAGGTTTATTCTTGACCTCACACTGAACAAGTAAGTATTTAGTCATAATCCTGTTAAACAAGTGCAGTAAAACTTCACTTCATGGTAAGGGTTCAATCAAAATATTGACACTGATAAGATGTCATATAACACTTCAAGAAAAACATAAAAGTCTAAAGTTAATTATTTTTTCTTTTCCTGGAAGAAGAGGCATTTAACATTTAGCTTGTTAAGTATCTTAAGTACAGTACTTAGAGAGTAGGATTTTAAATGAAATACATATTTGAAGTAATGCTAGTTAATTAAATGTTAACTATAATCATTATTACACATAGGAAGCATGATAAATTACTGACTCAAGTATAAAATTTTCTTCCAATTTACCTTGCATTATACCATTCTCATATTGTATTGCAATTGTGAATAAACAAAGAAAAAGATGACTTGTAAATATATTGAGAAGGTTCTTTGCTTTGTAATTTGCTCTCATATGGGTCTTTTCAAAATTTTGGTCCTGATAAAAATGTACCTGATTTTTCTCTGAGCATTTTAAGTTTGTGTTGATATTTAAATGCTGTTTTCTAAGTTGGAACTCATTGCACCGATGTCTTTCTACAAAACATGGGCAAGAGCTGTTGACAAAAGTAGTGAGCTTTCTTTGGTGAAAGCGATTCTTTGGTGAAAGGGATTTCCTGTATGGTTGTCTTTTGTTTAAGAATCTCCTATCAGTGTTTTAAACTATCATCAGTATTTTGACCAGGACTGCATCTTTGCCAAAAAAAATACCAGGTAATGCTATCAGACACTATAATGTAGGTGACCACAATCAATAGCAGAGAAACTGCAAAGGATTCTAAAAAAGAGCTATTAAATTTCTTGTATGCCAAATCCTGTGAACACTGCAGAAAAAAATGCAGAGTCAGCTAGGGTGCTCCTTACTCAAGTGTTACTGCAGCTTTAAGTCAGAATGAATCAGCAGAACTCAGAACTCCCTTTGTTAAAGGTACTGCAGGTTTCCCTTTTTGAGTCTGCTGAGCATTGGTTGAGTTCCTTGCCACCAGCCTGTGTCAGCACTGTGCCTGCCTAAGACATTTGTCTTGCCAAATCTTAGACTATGTTGAGAAGCTAGCTATGGCTAAATTTAGTGTTTTTGCCCTCTATTCCTTTAATTTTTACTGCAATGGAGACTGTCATTGAAGACTGTAGCGTGGCATTAGCAACCAACGTTGCTAATGTGTTCGTGGAGGCTGATGGCCACAGCAGTACCTCCCAATCAAATGACTGGGGAAGAGTCATGTAGGGTGTCCAGGGCATGTACAGGTCTGGAAACCTATCATTAAGTTGCTTATCACTAATATTTGATGTGCAAAGGAACCAAGTTGAGCACCTGCTAAGAACAATCCTTGCCTTTAGGAGTTTACAGTTGAGTTGGGTAAGGTCATCAGATTAATATATAATGTTTGATGATTGAAATTTGCTGTATTAGAGATAAACGTGGAATGCTATGGTATATGTACTAGAGGAGATAGTGTGTGCTCAGTAGGCAAGGCCAGGGAGCAGTGTGGTGTGTTAAAGGAGAATTTGTTTTTTGTTGAATTTCTTGGTAAATTACAAGATTGAGGCAAGGGAAATGAGTCAGGAGACGTGGGCTTAGAGACAGCTCAGGTCTTGGAACATCTTGTATGTAATGCTCAAGTGCTTGTCCATTATCTCCTAGACCATGAAAAGTGAAGGAGGATAAACAGAAGTTCAGTTCTCAGAAAGTGTTGAGGGACACAGTGAGGTAATGCAATAAATACATATCTACAAATGAATCTGAAAACCAAACGAACAAGAAATCTAATGAACAGAATAAGCTGATGAATAAAATAAAACCAGAAGCATGAAAACATGGAACAGACTGATGAGTCTCAGAGGGGATGGGGGTTGGGGGATGGTGCAGGAAGAACTTAATCCAAGAACTCATATGTATATATGCATTACCTGTGGACATAAACAATAGGGTAGTGAAGGCCTGGGGTGGAGCAGGAACCAGGTGGAGAGGGACAATGGAGGGAGAAAGGGGGACATATGTAATACTCTCAACAATAAAGATATGCCAGAACTGGTTTGGCTCAGTGGATGGAGCGTTGGCCTGCAGACTCAAGGGTCCTGGGTTCGATTCCGGTCAAGGACATGTACCTTGGTTGCAGGCACATCCCCAGTGGGGGGTGTGCGGGAGGCAGCTGATCAATGTTTCTCTTTCATTGATGTTTCTGGCTCTCTGTCCCTCTCCTTTCCTCTCTGTGAAAAATTAATAAAATATGTTAAAAAAAAAGATTGAAAAAAAATAAGTAAATGCAGTGGAGTGAGGCCACAAGAGGTCTAATCCCGTGGCCTCTCCCCTGTGCAGATTTCGGAGCCATCTGAGGACAACATGGGTGTGCAAAATGACCTGGAGACAGGGGAATTGTACTTTATAAACGTGTGACATGTGTTGACCAGGGTGGGTCTCTGGTTTAACTAACTTTCAATGGCTGGGATTAACTAAAAAGTCTGATCCACATTAGAATAAACTTAAAGAGTCAGAAATTTTTTTGAAAAATATTTTTATTGATTTCAGAGAGGAAGGGAGAGGGAAACATCAGTGATGAGAGAGAATAAAAAAAAGAAACATCAATGATGAGAATCATTGATCGGCTGCCAGGAATTGAACCGTGACCTCCTGGTTCATAGGTCGATGCTCAACCACTGAGCCACGCTGGCTGGGCCAGAGAAATTTTTAATCAGTCACGGAAGAACCAAAAGAGCTTCTGAGGAAAGAGGAATCTCATACCTATTATTGGGTGGTCATTGCCACACGATTAACAACAATTTTAGTTTTTTAAATATATATTTTTATTGATTTCAGAGAGGAAGGGAAAGGGAGAGATAGAACCATCAATCATGAGAGAGAATCATTGATAGGCTGCCTCCTGCATGCCCCACACTGGGGATCGAGTTCGCAACCCGGGCATGTGCCCTGACTGAATATCGAACCATGATCTCCTGGTTCATAAATCAATACTCAACCACTTTGCCATGCCAACCAGGCTATTTCCAACAATTTAAAATCATTGGAGGAGGGAAAAAGCAAAAGGTATATGATAAGTATATGGGCTCGGTGAAAGAGTGAAAGCATAGAGATATTAACACATTGCGGGCGGGTAATGAGCATTCTCGTGTTTTCATATTACACAGTGTTTTACATAAATGTGAAAAGCACGCCTTAAAATTAAATACCCATTGCATTTTGAAGTTATTTATTACCTGTTCTTACAAGCTAATATCTTTTTAAAGTATGATACTTTCTAGCCGAAACCGGTTTGGCTCAGTGGATAGAGTGTTGGCCTGCGGACTGAAAGGTCCCAGGTTCGATTCCGGTCAAGGGCATGTACCTGGGTTGCGGACACATCCCCAGTGGGAGATGTGCAGGTGGCAGCTGATCGATGATTCTCTCTCATCGATGTTTCTAACTCTCTATCTCTCTCCCTCTCTGTAAAAAATCAATAAAATATATTAAAAAAAATAAAGTATGATACTTTCTAAAACGTTTTTTGTGCTCATTCAATAGAAACTTACCTGGCCACTGGGTAAAGTTAGCAATAAAACTACTGGAGCACAATGTGTTAAAATAAACTAATCAAAGTGGTGACCATAGAATCCAAATGGTTAATGTCCTCACCAGGGCTGGACCATCAGCTTGGGAAAATTACCCTGATGTGAGTTCCTGAGAGAAAGTCTTTTTGAGTTTGTGTTCTCATAGATTGAACAATGGAGGCCTTGGCTTGATGAGGCATCTTAGGGCAGAGGTGTGGGTTTTATTTCTTTCTTTCTCGAACATTGAGTGAACATCTGCTCTATGCCAGCGGCTGCTGTAGGTGCTGATGCTGCTGGGAACAAGATAGACAAGGTCCCTACCTCCCCTGATGGAGCGTCATTCCAGGGGAAAAGGCAGATGGTGAACCGCTAAATAAAGACAAGTGCATTGAAGGACATACAGCTGGGCTATGTAATGGAGAGGGACTGTGGGTTGGGGTGGCTAATGTTATTTAAATGTCACGGAAGCCAGAAGGTCTGTCTGAGGAGAGACAATGAGCTGAGACCTGATTGTCAAAGATGAGCCACCCCATGAGGCTGGAAGGCTAAGGGTTCCTCACAGCTGGGACAGTAAGACAGCAAGTGTTGAGGAGAATAGGGAATGTTCAAGAAGGACAGAGGCGAGTGTGACTGGAGTGAAGTGGGGGGCAGGGGATGGTGGGAGACTGAGGAGACAAGACCAGAGAGGAACCAGGAAGCCAGAAAATTGTCCATGGTGAGGCATTTGGGTGAGAAGGCATTGGGCATTAAGCATGGATGCCATGCCATCATTTTATTTGGCCCAAAAGGCCTTAATTGTGGCCTTGGAGGACCTTTGGTCATATCCCTTTTAGGATACCCTCCTTTTCAATTTTGTTTTGTTTTTTTTCCTCCGGAATAACCACTGTTTCAAGATACAGAAGGTTTAAAAAGGATTAGGAGATGAATAATTCTTAATGTTTATTGATCCTTTGAAATCTAGGGCGTGTGGGAGGAGGGGGGGAGGGATCTGAGGATTGTCTTCCCTATGTGTATGATTGGAATTATGCCATAGTCCGTATTACCTGTAATTAAATTTGCTGTTGTCTTCAGTAAATGTGTATTGGGAATAACCATGATCAGAGCCATGTCATGGTTGAAAGCACAGGTTCTGGAGTCAAACAGACCTAGGTTTGAATCTGGGGCTGCCATTTACTACTTTTGTGAACTTGGGCAAGTTTCTCAACTTCTTATAATAACAGCATGAGATATCGTTCACATGCCATAAAATTTCCTCCTTTGAAGTGGCTTTTATTATATTAGGAGTTGTGCAATTATCACCACCATCTAATTCCAGAACATTTTTGTTGCCCCAAAAGAAACCTTGTACCTACCTGTAGCAGCCACTCCTCATTCTCTTCCCCCCCAAGCCTTTGGCAACCACTCATTTCATTTCTGTCTCTAAGGTTTTGCCC